ATTGAGAGGATGAAAAAATACTTCTTTCAGTACACTTTCAATTGATATGATAAAATAATTTTTAAACAAATAGTTCTAAATTAAATGACTTAATGCAGCTTAAATTTGAATGAGATTTTTTGCAGTGATTTATTAAAATATGGCTGCCATTGGAGGTTATGAAGAAGAGCATTTCAATTATGAGTTCTGGTCCTGAAAAGAGAAGAGTATAAGGGCTTGTGGTGGTGCATGATGGGTTCTTTGATTATGGGAGCACTTACGGCAACAACACTTGAGGGGGGAGCCTACATTTCTATAATGGAAAACATGATATAACCCACAGTATTAACCAAAAAAAAATTTTTTTAAAGAGTTTTGGTTCTGGTGGGTTAGATCGGGATTGATATTTGAACTCTGTCAAGTGTCCCCCCAATCTTGCAAGTCATCTAATCTCCAAGGCCCGCCCTTTATTTATTTATTGATTGATTTTTTATGATTTATTTTTTATTTATATCTTTTACATCACTGTGTATTCTCAGTAAAATTCCCACCACCAGTTCACCCATGAACCATCACTATAGTCCCTTGTGCTCTTCTCTCCCTGGTTTGATCCTTTTTTCTCCTGTTCCCTTGCAGAATGGCTCTTATTTATGGTTGCCTGCTAATTTTGCTTTATTAATTATTATTAAGACCCTTCATTTTATAATAACTTGAAAAGAAAAACACTTTTTCTTGGTGAGATTTGGTGCAACTTATGACAAGAAAAGGTAAGTCAAACACATGTATTGGCAAATCACCCAGTGACCATGGGGAAGCCAGCTAAAGCTGACCTCTTGTTTTTACTCTCTTTCAATGTGACCTATCAAAAGATAGCCATGGCAGATTCTGAAGCCCCATGTTGTACAAGGTGATTATGTAGCCTTCCAATTTTGTGATGAATTGCATTTATTATTTCTCAGGGAAGCCATGTAAATAGCATCACTTTTTTAGTGGCCAAAAAATAATAAAATAATATCTAAAATAATAATATCAGTAAATTCTAGCCACAGGTAGATATAAAGTGTGAACCTACCTGTGGGATCCCTGGCCTTCCTTATTCTTGGGGATATTGTCTTGGTGCCCAGAGTTCCTGCTTGTCATTTAGGTGTGGGGTCATGCAGGGGGCCTCTCACCAAGGGCAAAAGTGCTAGTATGAGGAACATAATGGGAAACCAGTATCTGCTGAAAGCAACAGGCAGATATGAGAGTAGAGATAATAAGCACTGACTTACAGGAACAATGGAGCCCCCCAGGCAATACCCTCTGGTCACGCCACCCTAACTTACTTCCCGATAATACATCCTGCAGGCTTATAGCTTCTTCCTCCTACTTGTCCATATTCTCTGAACCTGGTTCTAAATAGATATGAGACTGCCCATAGATTGGGGCTACACTTTTTTTAGGTGTAAGCCCCTAGAGGCCTCTCTCGACTTGTACTTTGAGTTCCCAATGCTGCCACCCTGCGAGGCGACACCTACCTAATTCTGAAATAAATTTAAAAATGAAGCCAAAATTGGCACAACTTTTTTAAATTAAAGATTAATGTGATAGTACATAAAAACCATAGTTATGAATAAAAACTAGAGACATAAAAAGAAAATATTTTAATTATTAGAAATGTATAGCAGAGACAATGGGGATTCAATTTACAGGTAATTGAATTTTTTTAAAGAAAAGCCAAATTGTAGAATAAAATAGTAACCATTTGAATAAGTATATAAATCTTCCTAAATACCAAAGCAAATGCAAAATAAAAATAAAAATAAACCATATAGTGACTCTATCCAACACTCCCATGAACACAAATGTGGAAAATATATAAAAATGCTCACATTCAAAAACAAATGAAGATTCTAAAATAATGGAGACATATAAAGTGCCAGGAATCTGCCTCCCCACCTAGACAACAGTTGCACTAGCAGAATCTGTTTGATGTAAGGATTTGGCACTCTGCAGTCTAGTGAAGTCTGCCAATTCCCAAGGGAAACAAATTGATGGGATGCAAATTGGTGTAGACATTATGGAAAGTGGTATGGAGATCCCTCAAAAAATTAAAAATAAAAGTTTGATACAATTCAGTTTTTCCACTTTTGGGAATTTACCTAAAAAAACAAAAACACTATTAAAAAATATATAGTACAGGATTTTCATATTTATTTCAGCACTGTTTGTAATAGCCAAGCACTAGAAACAATCTAAGCACCTATTGGATAATGATGCTGTTAATATCCACAATGGAATGCCAGTCAGTTATAAAAAAAAAAAAAAAAGAAATCCTGTCATTTTCAACAACATGTATGGACCTAGAGGGAATTATGCTGAGTGAAATAAACCAGACAGAGAAAGATGAAGACTGTAAAATTCCATTCATGTGCTGTGTATCAGGATAACAAACAGATGAATTAAATAAAACAGAAACTAATTAGTGATTACCAGAAGGGGAAGGAGAAGGTGTGGGTAAACAGTGAAAAAGGTGACAATTGTAAAGGACAGAATTGGACTTTTAGTGGTGAACTTGATGCAGTATAATACAATTTGATTTTCAATCATGCATACCTGAAAATTATTTAATGTTTTAAGACAATGCTACTTCAATTTAATAAAAAAAAAAAAAGGATGCCTCTGGGGAATGAATGGGTCTAGTCTTGCCTAGCAATCCATTCTTATCTTTCGGTCAGTGGCAGCATAGGGCTGTGGGGCTTGGAATTTAGAGTTCCAGGGTAAACTATGAAGCATCTTCACAGTCAAATTGCTATAATATCTTACTTAAGTCTCTGTAGCTTTTTTTCTGTGCTCAAAACTGCTGATTTCTTTGTTGCTGCGTACAGAGTACTTGTTTTGTTTAGTGACTTTTCTGGATTAACTATCATTCATGTTCTGAGTGTGTAATTTCTGTTTCATAATCTTCATGGTCAGTTTATGACAGCACAGATATTTCTGAGCATGCACAAGTTCTTGGAAATATGTCTCTAACAAAAACATTCAAATAGACTTCTGAGTTCTCAGGAATATATGTCACAGTTTTCCTGTGATAATCTTATTTGACAACCTTTCTTCTTGGTACTTTTTAATTATTCTAATATTTGCCCCAACTCTTAACAGACGGCTTTGGTGACTAAAACATTTGTCTGAATACATTTGCCAGAAAAATCCTTGTGGAAAGTGTCCTTAGTACTGGTCATGTTCTGAGTTGGGAAAAATGGAGAAAAGTCTTGCAATTAGATTCTTGCAGGAAATCATCAGACAGGTCAAACAAAGGCTTTTGTTTGGGACTGAGAATCTAGTCATGTTATCCCCTTTGCAGACTATTATTTTTCAAGGTTTATGTTGAACTGAAAATTGGGATGGCACTAGGATATTTAAAAATGTCACCAAAGCTCATTTTTCTTATAAATATTGTCTATTTTTCTTGAATCAGTGCTGAGCGGTTATAAACCGTTGGTTAATATTCAGAGTTCTGTAAAAGATAATTCTGACAGTTGTTACCAGTTTTCCATTGCTTTTATGAAGGGGCAAATTTCAAGAGAACTTTATCTCATTATTTTGGTTATTTCACCCCCCAGGATATTTCAGCTCTGTTTTATTTTTCTAATGTGCCATCAGGTTCTACCAAATTAGCAAATTTTAGTGCTCATTAAGTATTTACTGAATTAATAGTATTATATTGAAGTGGTCTTCTGCTGGTGCTGAATTCTCATTTTTTTCTTTTCTAGAAAGAAAACATTGCTAAATCAAATTCCGAACATCTTATTTTAGTCCAAAGTTTCCATTTGTATTTTATAATTTGAAACATTTTTTCTAAAGCATAATAATTTTTAGGCAAATAAATAAATTCATCTCTCTTGAATTCACTTTTCTCACATGTAATATTAAAGAATTTAATTAGAATCTCCAAGTAGCCTCACATTCTTTACTAGTCTATAACTTAGACCTATGACTTTGATTCATTTTTCCGATGTTTTATACAATGAACGAAGCAGGTTTCTTGTATAATAGGTGACTCTTTTGTGCAATATTAGCATCCCAGCTTTGTTAGAAATATGAATTGTTAGGATCCATTTTAGACCTACTAAATCAGAAATGCTAGGATGAGATCTTTCAGTCTGTTTTTAACAAGCCCTCAGGGGGTTGTGTTTTGAAGTTTAAGAACCACTGGTCTTGAAATCCTGTGGACTCTGTGGAAAGAGGAAATCAATTCATTGGTTTCCCTTTACAGCATCAACTTCTGGATACTATATAAAACTTCCACCTCTTCTTCATGTATCTGAAATAATAGACTTGGGCAGTTTATAAATTGGATCAGAAATCACTTTGATTTCTAAAAGCAGACTTAAAAACATTAGACCTAGAATTTTGTTGATTTGTTATAAGAAATTCATAATTCATAGTTTAAAGCATATTGTGCAGAGTATCTCCCATGCTCATTAGTGAACACAGAATTCCCTAATCAAGTAACATTTACATAATTGCACATTATATGAACCAAAATAAATCCTCAATTTATCTGTTTCTCATTTTTCCATCAGTAAATGAAGATGATTTCATTGGAAGCTTATAGCCGCAACATCCTATGATTCACACAGTCAGTAATTTAACACTAATAGCATTAGAATATTTAGCACTAAACATAATAGACAATAGAACATTGTAGTACTGTAACATTTTCAACCTGATCTTTAGCAATTCAAACATGTATCTCTTAAAAGTCCCTTAAAGATGGTGTTTTCAAGAGAGTCTATTTAAGGTAATGCAATCAGGTTTTACTTTTATGAGAAAAATTTAATAACTTAATTTGTGATCATGTTCTTAGAACTTGGCACAACTCAGTCAAGCATACAAATGACCTTGCTATTGAGAAGCCTCCGTAGTTAAAACCACTTCACAGGCGAATCTACAAATAAAAGCGTTCTTTATTTCCTTATTTGAAAACAACTGACTTGAAAAAGAAGATCTGTGACTTTTTTTTCCTAAGAAACTCTACCATGAAGATTTATCTCTTTTTTATTCTGCTTTTGTGGGTCACAATTTTACCAGGTAACATGGAAATATTTATGGGTGTATTTGTGTTAGTGGATTTCAGATGATGTCAGTTGTTTCTTGATAAAAGTATAATAATAACATGTGGATTGAGAGATTTTAATATTAAAAGTGATAGGGTTCTCTGGATTGTACCCTAGAATACAGAAAAAAAAGAGAGGAATGGGAAAACTGGTGAAATATGAATAAAATCAGCAGCATAGTTAAAATCATACCTTTGGTTTTTTAGTTTTGAAAAATAGAACATGGTTAAATGAATGCTTTCATAAGGGGAAGTTGGCCTGTTGTTAAAAGTCTTAATCCAAGTTGGTATCAAAATTAAATATAAAAAAAAGGCAAACATAAGACTGATCCATTAGACTCGTCATCTTCATCATGCAACATTGTCAGAATCCATTGATGAAAAAAAATTCTTTAGCATAATCAACTGGTAAGTGGGAGAATTTTCTTTCTTTTTAACCTATGCCAGTATAATACCTACAATTAGTAGAAAGAGTTTCTTTTTTTAAGATTTATTTTTATTTATTTAAGCATACCAAAACTAGGGTGTAAGCCAGAGGTGCAGGGGGGTGAGAAGATTCACCAGAGACAGAGTGGGGAGCAGAACAGGGAAGATTGACTGAAATACACTGCTGAGGGGAGAAGCAGGTACCATGTGGGTTAGCTCCCTGGCAGGTGATGGAAACTCAGGTGGTGGTGGTGATAGCACTCAGCCTAACACTTGAGCCACCAGGGAAGTCCCAGAAAATGTTCAACATTCTTTGTTGGTACTACAGGGAAACCATGTCCTTTGGGTGGCTTTTCTTTACAAATTTCCAGTCACCACCTTCTGTCATTTTGATTGTTGCAGATCACATGAATGTTAAGTGTGATAGTTACATGTGAGCTATAGTTTTCATGAGATTTTTTTCTCCCTCAAGGCTTTTCTGTTCATATGAGGTATGTAACATGATTCTTCCCAATTAATGTGCAAGCATGAGTTATAAAAAAAAAATGATAGATTTTTGAGATGGGAAAATCACCTAGTATACACCCTTCATTTAAGAGCTTAAAATGAAAGAACAAATTGAAGTCTACCCAATTTATAATACTTTCAATGAAATAAGGCTTAAATTCACTAACTCTTAGGAAAATATTCTTTTTTTAACTGATTTTTTCCCCAATAGAAAGCATAACAGAGACATAGAAGACTGGTATTATTCTTTCATTGTGGATATTAGGGAATCCATCATGACAATCTAAAAACTTACACAGAATAAGCTGATTCAATTACCACTTGAAGGTTGCAATTCTAAAAAGTTCTATAGGTTGTCAAATATCAATGAAGTAACAAAGTAATGTAGTTAATTTAACTAAGAAAATAACTTCCTCTCCCTCTTTGCAAAAATTGTTATAAAATGATTTCTGGATTTTTTTTTCCAGTTGGAGAAAGAGCCAAAAAAGAAATCTACAGATTCATATAGCCTTTAAATGTGGCATGATATTTTCTTCATTTAATCAAAATGAATAGATCTCTATGCCCAGCATTTTTATTTTTTGTTAGCTTATTTTGTCCTTACAATGGCCATATAAGGTACCCCTACTACTAACTAATTATGCATGTTAACAAACTTGATAATCATGTGTCGTGTAGATTTTGAAGTTATAAACCACTTGGGGTACACAGTGATGTAGTTTACAAAATAAGTGTCGCTAACTTTTTGCTTATTTTTTATTATATTTTCAATGTGAAATCATTGTTTTTCTTTAGGAAACTTTAGGAAATCTTTAGGAAACTCCTACCATTGTTGACAAAAACTTTTCAAAATAAAAGAAATATGTTAAATATGTTAAGAAAAAATATTTTTTTTTTCATAAAATAAGTAGAGGTGATATGGAAGAGAAGAGAGTTAATTTTAATACAAGAGCTAGGTCTTATAGAGCTTTTGATACCAACAATAGAGACAATGCCTCTCTGATTGTATGTGTTCACTAGTAAGTAGTAAAATTCACCACCAATTGTTGGAAATGTAGACAATATGTTTAAGCAGAAAGATCTGGTATTTAAAAGGACTGATTGGGGGCCTCCCTGGTGGCGCAGCGGTTGAGCACTGGGTTGCGAAGCTGCCTGCGGCTTCTGCAGCGCCGGTTCGATCCCCGGCTGCTCCCCAGCCACCTGAGGAGGGTCCCACATGGCGCGCAGACCTCTCCTGCCGCCCGCTGCTCCCCTCAGCAGTGTACTTTGGTCCTTCTGCCTGCTCTGCTCCCCGCTCTGGCTCTGGTGAATTCTCTCACCCTCCCGCACTTCTGACTGTACCCAGTGCATGTACAAACAAACAAACAAATAAATAAAAACATGCCTCTATAAAAAAAAAAAAAAAATTTTAAATAAATAAATAAAAGGACTGATTGGGGCACCACGCCATAGCTAATGGCAGAAAATAGTGGAAAATGGCAAAATACCACAAGTGTAAGAAAATGTTTGAATCTGTCCCTTAGTCAGTCACCTACAAAATTTAGAATTCTCCCATACCTGTTCCCCAAATCTTACCTTATGAGTAAGGTGATCACTTATCAAAAGTTATGTATATGCAAAAGCCAAAAACTCTAAGTACATAGGCCCATGCATAATATGCAATATTAAGTTAAAATGTATTTGGCTTAAAATGGAGCTTATAATATGTAGTAAGCTTCTAGTGACAGTCAATCTCCAAGCTATAAGATAAAACATGTAGTCTCAAGTACTGGAAATTTTAGAAATCATATAATGGTTAAAAATGAACTCACAATCTTGTTATTCCTTTTTTTGTCTCTGATGCTATTATCAAACATGTATCTAAGTTAAACCATTTCTTTGAGGAAACATTACAAAATATTCAGGGGAATTGTAGGAATTCAGACAAGTTGCGTAACATTGACTGCTTCTTGAGATTTTAGAAAAGAAAAATCAAGCTGCAATAGGAGTGTCTGGAGGAAGAATTTGCAAAGCACAATATTCCATCTAACAGTGTGTATGAGAGCAGAAAAGGCAGAGTCAAACTGCAATTAAGATGATTGCAGTAGAGACCAACTGACAGAAGATAAGTAATGAGCACTGTACTTGCTGTTGACTGTGGGAATTATTCCTCAGTTGCTGTCACTTGGAAAAAAGCATGCAAGTACACTTACCTTACGGCCAAGATAACCTTTCATCTCCAGGATTTACCTTGAACCAAGAGGCAGTACATTTGTGTAAACTTTCCTCAATAAGATTTTCACATTCATAAATTAGATGGGGGAAAAATGAGCTTGCATCTTGGACTTTCTCATTTTAAAATACAGTTATGTTGTAGGTAGGTTGCTAATTCTAGTCATTCTTTCATTCTTACAGCCAGAAAGAGATACCCCCAATATGGTAGCTTGGATTTGTCAAGAGAGTGCAGAAGGACTAATGGTCGATGTAAACTTGAGTGTCGTGAAGATGAAACTAGGATTGCTTATTGCATAAGACCGGGAACTCATTGCTGCATGCAGAAATAAAGATGACAGAAGAAAAGAAAGAGACCTATGTTCCAAAAAGAGAGGACCAGTGTTACTAAGTCATCCTAGCACATCCTTCCATGACTGTGTATCTCTGTAATACACAAAGGATTTAATCAATAAAATTTAAAGTTGAACCATTCAGAAGTGGTTCTGTATCATATATGTACCTGGTGCCTTGACACTGCATTTCTCTTACTCTGTTGGTGCCAGAAGTAAGCACAATTTATTTAATTAATGAGTGAACAACCATTCAAAATTCTATGTGCTGTGTTAGTAGATATAAGTAACGTTGGAAGATACCTTAAGTCAAAGAAATGGAAGACTCCAAGAAATGTGCTGTTATTTTATTAGTAAACACTACTCTATAGATTATCTCATGGAATAATTTACAAATCCTGGAGTTAAAGACTAGAGCTTCATAGTGCAAAAACTATGAGAGACAAAGCTGAATAAGAGAATGACAAAAGGATAAAAACAGAAAAGTAGAGTAAAAGTACAAACAGCTCCATCTCTATCTTATTTTATTTTTAATGGAGAAAAATGTGTATCAGAATAGAAGAGGCAGTAACAAGAGGACAAGAATAATTTTATAAAGGAGAGGAGATGATATATAAACATTTGACCAAGATACTCAGAATCTATGCCTAATACCTGAATTCAATTCTTCCGTCCTAAGAGATGAACTTGTCTGAAGAGACACACATGGAAAGGAGAGAAATCATCACTACTGGTTTAATTCCTCTTATTACTTCCTCAAAAGAGCCATAATATTTTTCACGACAACTCTCTCAACAGTACATTTATATCATATAGTTTCTATTTAAAAATGCAGCTTCTTTTAAGAGTTTAGGAATACAATTTAGCAAATTGTATTAATTCAGAATTCTTAAAAAAAATCATCAATACTATGGCATAATAATAAAACAGAAACATATTCCACCACCACCCCCAAAATGGGAATAATCATGGTAATTTGACTAAAGAAAAAGGTAATTCATTGGGCAGATAAAATATGGGCCAGACATACTTGAATGAAGATGAGAAATCAAAGAATTTCTAGGTCCTACCTACTCTTTAGACTTTTTTATTATAACATCTCATTCCATTTTCCTTCCTTTTATTGAGGTTTACATTGGCTTACAACCTGAATCCATCATTTGAGCAAGATCTATAAATTAGAAATGAGAAACTTAATATTAATACAGAAAAAAGGAAGCACTAGATAGTGAGAGGAGATTTCTAGCAGACACCCTTGGCATCTCTGAGGAGAATGAGTCTGTACTGTTTCATCTAAATTTCTGAGCTATTCTCTCCTTTTATAGTCAAGCCACCAATCTCTGCCTTCAACCCAAGAGACAAAAGTAACAAACTGGAAGGAGAACGTCTATTTTGCCCTCTAGAAATATTTGTTTGTTGTTTGTGATAGCAAAGGAAAATTCTGGGAGCCCCTTCATGAATTTCTGCAGTTGTTTCCTTAAAGAGAAGAAGGAGTCATTAATTATTTACATTGCCCTCAGAATTTATTTTAAAAACAAAAGAAAGACAAATAATTAAAACTGGGAAGACTTCCAGCAACGTTTTAGCTCATATATCATAATTTTCATTGTATTGATTGACGAAACCGATAGATGATAACCTTAGAATAGTTACATTTAAAGAATTGGAAGTTTTATGTTTTTCTTCTTTTGGCCAAGAACCTGAATTTTCGTGACATTACATATTTTCCCTTTAAGTTTTAGTTTTCTATGAATCTTGACTAGCAGTGGCCCTGATGAAATATTCAGCACCATGTGTCACTTTGGTTGTTATTTAGTTGCACAATATACACCTGAATGAATTCAAAGCATTACGTTGAAATGAGTTATATCACCACCAAATTTCAAAAGAGAATCAGAAGAATTAGAATCCATCCTGATATCAAGAATTCAAACCCAATCTATTTCAGAATTTATTTCAACTCAATGCCCTTGGACAAGAACAAAATCTAATTCCAAAAAGTAATTTGTTTTTCTTAGGTAACATAAATGGATTTCTTCCCAGATATATGTCGTGGATTTTGTATTTAAAGATAAAAAAAATTACAGTTCCTCTCTTAAGGAACCGATCTTTTCTGATCACAAAGTGAGTTTTAAGTACTATCCAATTTGGCAGTTTAAAAATGAGTAAGACATGGGATCTGCCCTCAAGAAGGTCAAAATCAATTCAGTTATAACACTGAATTTAATATCTCCTCTCTTTTATTATCAATTCAATGAATACTCACTACAAACATACTTTGTTAGCCATAAGCTAATAAAATTGGTACATACAAATAAACAGAACATTTTTATGAGCTAAAATGGATCTTGCTCTTTACTTAAGAAAAATCTAGTGGATTTTAAAGGGAAAACATGCTCAAATTTTGTTTCATAAATAGCTCTTTGAAGTACTTTCACATATTAGGAGGTATTAAAATAAGTAATATGTAATGGTTGTTCATTCTAGAATAGTAATTGTAAAAACAATGAGGACTGATAAGGTCCTGGATATGTTAAAGGTAGAGTTAATTAAATTTTATGAGATGTTTTTCCTCCAACCTACATTATAATTTGCCTTATTCTACTCTTCACCAAACTTTGAAAGGCAGTTTAGACTCATAGTCTCCGCTTTAGGAAAACTTACACATTCATCTGTTGATATAGTCACCCCCCCATGAATGAGCTAAAAGTCTTCTTAATAATGTTACAAATGTTTTCCTAAAAGAAAATCCAAAGATCTGTTTTAATTCTCATGTTGATGCACTCCTATACACTGATGGATTTAGACACTGTTTTGATAATTGTTAATTGACTTCCTAATTTTTGATACTTTCTAAAATGCATTATATGTGTATATATATCAAGTGGTTTCCGTCATCACATAATTAGGAACTTATGGATGATATTTGTACACTACTGTGCAGTTCATAACATACTATATAATCATTTTTCACAACACTATGACGTATTATTCTCAGTTACAATTTTTTTACATGACATAGCTATGATCCTACAAAGATGCATTATTTGTAAATAACTAAGAAGTGATAGAACCAATTTTGCAATAGATGTTTCTGTTTCAGATCATAATTCTACACTTCTTCATAATTTAAACATTTTTACTGCAAATAATGAGATTTTTTAAGTAACAATGAACACTACAAATCCATACTTCTCTTTTCTGAATTTAACATTTCTTTAAAATCATCATGTATTTGGTGGGTTGACACGAAATCAGGGTTCCAGGGGTGTTGATTAGCTTTAAAGTTACCTATCCCAGCAGAAGTTAAAAAAAAAAAAAGGAAAATGAAGTCTTCAGTCATGTTCTTCCCCACTTATGCTATATCAAATTTGGCTTTAAAATAACTTTAGATTTCAACAAAATTTATCAGTGGCCAGAGATTCTGTCATCATGAATTAGCTTTTCATTCCCAAAGGAGATATATACACTCACATGTCAAAACCTTCCTGACAATCTTTTGAATTTTAAACTTCTTTCTCTTTTCCATTTACTTTACTAATAAAAAAGTTAGTATATTTGAAGTTTTCTGTACAGTTCTCCATCTAATGCTTAGAGAATAGTGGGCACTCAAATAAATACCTACAACACAGAATTGAAATAAAACACCAATCTGAATTTTAATTAGATTCTACACAATTAGTTCTGTGACTTGACTTGATATAATTTTAATCTAAATTCAATTCATTCTCCAAATTTTAATGAAATTATTTTTCTTTATATTTCCTGACATACAACATGCAACATTTAATATTCAAAATGTATTTGTGACATCTATGTTTATTATATTCTGTTGTGCAGATAGAGTATGGCATCAAGATAAGTGAGGGCTATGATAAAATTCTGAGGAAAAAATAAGCCTGACTTCAAATTATCTTTTCTGTTCTAAAGGTACTGGCTTCAGTACAATTGCGTTATTAAGAAAAATAAAATCCTGGCCTCCCCAGTGGCACAGCGGGTTGAGTGCAGCACTGCAAAGCTGTCCACAGCCTCGGCAGCACTGCTTCGATACCTGGCCAGGCAGGGAGATACCCACATGGCAGACCTTTCCTGTCTCGGCCACTGCTCCTCTCAGCAGTGCATTTCAGTCAATCTGCCTGTTCTGTTCCTCACTCTGTCTCTGGTGAATCCTCTCACCTTCCCACACATCTGGCCTGTACCCCAGTTCTTGAATAAAATAAATAAAATCTTTAAAAAAAAATGAAATCCTAAAGAAGCAAAAATATTTGCTTCCATTTACCATAAGGAACATGGAATCTTAGACCATCCTTCTTTGCATTGTCTTAGATGATTGACCAGAAACTGGAATACTAATACTGCAGCTCTTTTTTTTTAAATTAAATATTTTATAAGCACCCAAACTGTTTCTGTTTAAATATTTAATTTAGTTTCCTCAATTATTGCTCTGTCAGTAAATAATTTTATGGCTACCATGTTATAATTATTACTCCTTCCCATACCACTCTAGGTTCTTTTAGATGGAAATAATCAAATAAAAATTAGATTGTCAAGAGAAAAAAAAATTAAAAAATAACATGTCTAACTCCCACGCAAATGAGAAAAATTCAGTAAAACTGAGTAAACCAACAAAATACCTTAAGTCACCACCTCAAACATCTTCAGCTAAAGATAAGGAATGTGTGAGCAGGGGAAGGGAGATTAGCCTTGACAGGTCACCAGAAAAGGCACAGGAAAAAGGGTCAAGGCCTATTTGCATATACTAGTTTCTGTCTTCGTCATTGATGAAGAGTTCAAGATCTCAGATCTTTCCAATACAGTGAAATTTTCCTCTTGTGAATTTTTGTCTTTTACAATAGTATAACCAACACTCAGCCTTCAGAGCTCCTCCTATGAAATAATCTTAATACCAAAGGAACATTTCTGTGAGCTGGCAGAATTTTTTCCTCTACAAACATAATGAAGAATCAGAAGAAATCATAATAGAGAGGTTTATATTTTGG